TCATCATAGGATAAAAGTGATCATCTCTAATGGGACAAGTGGAGTGATTCTTACAAAGTCACTACACGATTCTTACTGATTTATGTGGTTACACATTCTGGGTTGGGGTTGGGGTGGAGCTACAGGACAGGTAAAAAGTCTACACAAGGTCATTGTGGAGAGAGTAATGGGTGCAAATTACCAGCAGACAACATTCTCAAGACTAGCTTTGGTGCAGATGCCACATGAGAAGATGAAGTTGTGGATATCTTTGAGCATATAATCGCGCTATAATACAATACAATACTTGGTATGTAACAGCTGATAGGTCTTGTTAACTCCAGGATGTCCTGTACCCAGGGAGGTGTGAGCCCAGGTGATTAGTTTCTCACGGAGCCTAGGTGGGACATATCATTTGTCTTGAGGACACGTTGTGGGCACAGAATGATGCACAATTGTTCTGTTCATTTTCTGATCAATGTCCCAGGAAATGTCACTGAAAAAATGTGATTCTAGCAGAATGTGTTCTGTAGACATTTCTCTGGGGCCCGCTGGGCACATTGAAGACAGAGCATCTGCTTTCAAGTTTTCAGAGCCAAGATAATATGAGATTGTGAACTGGAATCTGGAGAAGAAGAATAAGGCCCATGGGGCTATGTGGGGTTCAGTCTCTTAGTGGCTTTTAAGTACTTGAAATTTTTTTGATCAGTGTAGATGATAATGGGGTGAGCCACCCCCTCTTACCAGTAATGCCTCTTCCACTTTGAATTTGAATCATGTAACTACTATCCCTCTATTCAAAATACATTATGGTATTTTCTTCAGCACCTGGGGATTAAAAAGTGGAACTGCAATCCTTCTATTCACAAGAGACTGTGGGGATTTTTCTTTAGAGCTCTATTTCTGAGAAAATTGCATTCAGAATAGAGTTCTTAGCTGTGAATTGTGAAATTCTGATCCCACTATTCATTCCAAAAAAGATAAGGGAAATAAATATGATAAGGCAGGATGTACACTTGTTTGGACAATGTGAGACGTGGCAGACATTAATTTTGTATTAGACACCTCAGAAAGGCAGTTGTTGCAACAGATGTTTCATAAGCAGAATGAGTAGTGATGCTGATTCTGACATAGGCACGCTCACCTAGCAAATCTAGAACTGAATCTGGAGTCAGAGGTGACCGAAGTGCCACAGCGCAGTAATTCTGCCAGCCACAAATGGACAGGGATGATAATGCAAGAAGGCCACAATAAAAGGCCAACAGAGGGCTCAGACTCTCTGTAAAGGCACAAGGAGGATCAGCTTGCAAGCTAAGAAAAATTCTCTATATAAGCCATAATAGCCAATATAAAGATGGCAGTGATCCATGTTGGTTTGGACATGGAGGGACAACACTCTTTGCCACAGTACAGGTTTACATTAAGAGAATTAAGGCAGGTTCTAGCATGAAAACAGTATCACGCCCTGGGTTGGTGGCATGCATTTTACATACTAGGATTGATGAAAAAGTCGGCCTGGGCCAGAGGCCAATGTTTAATGCTTGCATTGCATCCTTAATGGTTTTGCCTGACAATGCGCTACATGCAGAGGCACCTTGTGCAAGCACCAAGTGCAGAAGTTTTTATTTTAGTTTTTATACTTTTATGATTGCAATACATATGCAGTGCACAGGTAAAAAGCTAGCAGTTGTATTGTTCACTCACTCAAGCTAACACCAGTGGACCCCCCTGTGATAAGGAATGCTGCTCCCGTTAGGGGTCGCCACAGTGGATCATTGGTCTGCGTATTTTGATTTGGCACAGTTTTTACGCCGGATGCCCTTCCTGACACAACCCTGCCCAATTTTTATCCGGGCTTGGGACCAGCACTGAGAGCACACTGTTGCACACTGGGGTTGGTTTCCTGGCCAGGAATCGAACGCAGGCTGCAGCGGTGAAAGCGCTGTGGCCTAACCACTAGTCCTCCAGGAACCCAAAGACCTAATTCTTCCTAAAGTTCTTAAATTAGCACTAAAAAAATCTTATATTACTTCCCCAACAGAGTTTTTAGACTGATGGTATTCTTAGTACTTGATGTAGTGAACCAGTATCAGAATGTATTTATTGACAGAGACCTCAAAGCACTTCTGTAAGTTGTTCTGGATAAGGGCATCTACCAAATGCCATAAATGTAAATGTCATATGGTCACCATGTGACTTCGTGTTAAAGGTCTTGTCATGTGTGTGCATGTGCACAAGTTATCCAGGTGATGAAATCCCACCTGGTGGTTATATAGTGTTTTTGGAACATGGTTACTTGCATAACCTAAAGGTTTCTGACACGAGAAAGTCTTCAGCACAGAGGATTTGTCCTTATTAACTTCAAGAGAGATAAAAGAGAAGCTGGTGAGGGAACAACTGTTTATTCCGAGACGCATAGAAAAACTTACCAGCCAATGTTCCTATAAAACTGTATGAAGTGTACTTGAGACTACTGATGCATTGTTAAGTTGATGTTGCAAAATGTATTAACTTTGTTTATTACTGTTTACTGCTCTGTATAGTAGATTTTGTTTATGTCGAAACATTTCATTTCATTATTTTTGAAGGAATCTTTACAGCTTTACAGCATTCCTTTACATGTGCCTAAGATTTTTTTACTGTAAATAGTATAGGTAATCAATGGGAATTATTTTAACAGAATAGTTA